AAATATAAAATATAAAATATAAAATATAAAATATAAAATATAAAATACAAAATATAAAATATAAAATATAAAAAAATTAAATCTAAAATATAAAATATACTATAAAAAATATGTATGAAATATAAAATTTGAAATATTAAATACAAAACATATAACATATAAAAAATATAAAATAAATAAAACATATGCATAATATCTATCTATACATACATATGTATAATAAAATTGTAACAAGCTGATATCTGTACATTATAGATGTTAAGGAAAAGTTAATATGGGGTTCTTTATTAGAGCAATAAAAGCCAAATCAACAATTTTTAGAATTTTTTCTGTCTGTCTGTGTGTTTGTACGTGCATCACTCAAAAAGTGATGCATGAAATTGAATTCAGTTTTCACTGATGTATTGCTAAAGGTCTAGCTTAAAATATAGAAAGAAAAAAACTAAGAGAGTTGCCACCTGTTTGAAGATTGCAGTCTTAGTAAATTTATATGATAGAGTAAATATTGCATTACCTGTCAAAAAAAAGAGGTTTAAAAAATATATAAAATATAAGTAGAATAAAAAAATAAAATGAAATAAATTAAAAAATAAAATAATGTAAAATATTATTTGTAAGATAAGATAACATGTAACAGTATGTTATTCCCAAAAAAGTTTGGCCTGAAATAAATTTAGTTTGTTCTTGTATACCCGACTGTGTTGGAAACGATTCGGCGCAAAGGGTATCTGCATAATTTTCGCTACTGGCGCCAGCAAGATAGAGAACATCCGCCTCCTGGCCACCGTTGTCGCCCGTTTGTTGAATCGTTAGTACGTTGGAACTGGGGAATCGATTTCGAGAACCTTGTATCTCTCTTCCGCATATTTTCGCGACAACGATGAAGTTAATGGAGCAGTGAAAATGCGCTTCGTCAGAAAGAATGATTTTTCTCGCAAAACCTTTATCAATTTCGTTTGCATCATTTCCCAAAAGTGTTCAAGCGTTAAGCTAATCATTTCGTTCTGCGACGATGTGATACTGACTTTTTGTCAATGTTTCGAGCGGGAAAGAGCTGCTTTCCGACCGCCTACCCTGAATGTTCATTTCATCCCCCTAAAAACTTTTCGCTGAGTCTTTCAAATTCGTTGCTTGGCGACCACTATTAACTGTGTGGGCAAACAAAAATAAATCCATATTTTCAGGAAGAACTTAATATTTTCATTTGTTTACATATGTGTCCAAAAGTAAGATATGTTAGCTTTTTATAATGGCTATTAGTTTTAATTACAATTACCCTAAAGTAGCGCGCGAAGCAGGTTTCAAACTGCGCCAATACAAAGATGGACCCATCGACTGGCACATCTTAGGTAAACTACACACACTCACACATTATCAAGAACTAAATGTACTATCCTTTTTAACCAACCAATGTTTCTCGTCATAGGCTCGATTGAAATAGATCGCCTTCTGCAGGATCAACGAATCGATCAGGTGGACGGATTATTGAGCCACCTCTCCGAAGCACCATTGGCCGCAATGTTGGACACCAACATTTTGGACAGCGGCATCGCCAAGTATTTCGTAGTCTCGCAGTTCGCCATACAGTATCTGTTGTTCTGTCGTAAATTCCTCGATGAAACTATACGCGAGCTGCGCGAAGCACACGCCAACTCGCAAATGGATGTCGCCAAATTGCGTAAATCGCTAGCCGAGGCGAATAATGAGATTCTACAGCTGCACAAGAAGATCACACAAATCGAGGCCATACACGAGGTGGTATATCCATGCCATCTGTGCACGAAGAGCTTCATCAGTAATGAGGCGCTAAATATACACATTAGCCGGCGGCATGCAGCGCGCGTGGCAGTCAATGCGCCAAATATAGGGGCTACCGTTGCCGCTAGTGGCAACGCCGCGGCTGATCGTCGCACCGAAACGCCGGCCAGCGCTGCCACAAGGGAGCGCGAGCATAACGATTTACAGTTGATCAACGCCGTCAAGTTGGAGCTGGAGATAAAGCAGTTAAAGGAGCGCCTTAACAACGCAGAACGCGACATACGCGAACGCAGCGGGGCGGCGCCGTCGCATAGCAGACGCGCCACGCCACGCGAACCGCCAAAATCGATGAAGAGCGTCGCTATTCAAAGCGAATTGCTCGAGACAAAGGAGCAGGATGATGGTGCCGATGCCACCTTGAACAGCGTGAGCACTGATAGCAGCGAGGTGAGGGAACGCAGAGCACAACTTGGTAAGCTGCAGGCCAAAATACAAGAATTCGAGGCGTGGCGCGAATCGCAGCAGGCCAATAATGAGGAGTCCATAGCGGAGATAAATCGGAAACTTGGAGAAATTGTGCATACATTGGAGGAAGCGAAAACAACAACAACAACGGCGTTTTCTGTGCCAGTCACTGGCATCACGAGTGTCGAACCACGAGGTGATGATAGATCAGAGCGGAGGGCAGCAGATGACAGCGTTGATGCAGTAGCAGCGGCACTGCAAAGACGCGGCTCACCCTCGGTGGAAGATCTTGAGCGACTATTAACTGAGAAAGTTGTTGAAATCGGTCAAAAAAGCGCCGAAAAACTTGAGGAATTCGTGCACAATATGGAAGTGAACTATAAGGAGAAACTGGAAGAGCTTGAACGTGAGATAAAGAAGCGCAATGCTGCAGAGCTTGTCACGCCTGTAGAAGCCGTCGATATAGTAACTAGTGTAAAAAAAGCTTCAGCTTTAAAGGATTCTACGCGGGACATTACCTACACTACATTTAATCGTACGGAGAGCGATTCTAGCGTAAGCGCCGGACCGAGACCTGAACCGGCAAAGCGCATGCCTCGCATTAAACGCAGTTCAACCTTGTTGGCAGAGCCTATTGCGATTCAAAAAACGCAACGAGACGCTGATGAGACATATGTCATTAACGGTAATGAGGACAGACAAGATTCAACTGCTGTGAAACCAAAGCCGCGTGTTCGCAAAATTAAAAGTGTAGAATCGTCTGCGTCGAATAAAAAGAATACGCAAGGAGAGGAGTTATATTCGCAGAGCACTGAAAGTAACAGAACATTTGTCAAAGCGGAGAAGCTTCATGACGTTGCAGTGAGGAGGAAAGGTACACGATACAATATACTGCGTCGCTTGGCGTGCAATACCGCGTAAACGCAAAATGCAATAACACTTTTGTGGTGGCTGAGAAAAATAATTATTTTCGGTATCCTGTCTCAGTGTTGGCCTACTTCACAAATTCACTGGTCAATAATTGCAATAGAAGCTTATATTAGCTCAGTTAGAAAAACATTCAAAGTTTAGAAGAAAATAAGTTTATTTGCACTTTTGTGAAATTTTCAGACTATCATATACGCTGTATTGCATTTCGCGTATATGCGGTATTGCACGCCAAGCAAAGATATGAGCTTATTGACCATTTCAGAGAAAAGTCTGAACTAAAAAAAAGCGTCATTGAATTTGAAACCGAAAAATTTCTAGTTTAAAAAATTTTTTTCGAATGGTGCGCCTAAAAGAATGTAACATTTAACGGCCTTAAATCGTCCTTTGTTAATTCACAAAAAGCAAATCACTAGCTTAAAGCAAAAAGTCGCTAAGTCCTGTTTTTCAAACTTCCGAGATAGAATGAAAACCTTTCAATCTCATTTTCTTCAAGCACTTGTTAATGAAACGTTTTTGTATTCCTTGGGACTTGTCACATTTTCTGTAACTATTCTGTAAATTACATTTCACTGAATAGAAATGGTAACAAATAAAATATGTAAGTTCGGTCTTTTCGAAAACGATGCATTTTCACTTGCTTTTGCTTTTTGCACGAAAATAACTTTCCTTAGAAAAGTGGATATAGCAACTTTTCACTCTAAGCTAGCGAAATATGTAATAAAATTTTCTAGACTTTATATAGAATAATAACACAAATCGGGATTATTATTTTACTAACAGTTTATTTAAAACTTAATATTTGAAAATCGTTGGTTTTATATTTTATATACATGGAGATATATTTGCGAAATTTTACTATTCCAAAATTTTTATAGAATCTGGAACCGCTGCAACCGGAAATGACAGCACGGACATAACACAGACCTTAAGCACCGAAAGCGAAAGTGATGGCAGTAGCAGCAAATCAGAGGTAGAACCAACTCCTGCAGAGGCGGCAAGAGTCAAACAAAGAATAAAAACCAAGTAATTACGTTTGCAATTATGAATGTGATACATTGAATTTTAATAAAATGTGTTTTCTTTTATAGAGTACCGCAAAAACCAAAACCCTGCACCCGTAACGATGCGCAGCATTTGGCGAATAAACGCTTGATTGCAAGCGGCCTGGAACCAAAGACAAATGGCATATCCACAGCAGCAATGAAACGCCTGAGTGCTGAGCTTTCACACAAACGGCACAAGTTGAAGCAGGTATGCAATGGATTAATCATGTGTTATTAATAACTAATTTTTAAAATATATTTTCGGAACCGCAGAAATATCCAAATTTCTATGCAACGCGCAACAAAATCAAAAAACTTGTCGACAAGCTTTGCTCTACAAAACTACCTGCCCCTGTCGAAGATATGCTTAAGCACGCCAAACCAATTAAGCCAAAAGAAACATACGTTGTTCAGCGTCGTGGACACGAAGACGTACAACTTCCCTCGGATGTTGAAGGGTTTGAAGACCTGGAGGTCACTTCTACACCAATACAAACACCACAAAGGTTGTGTGAAAGCAATGTATTTAAGCAACGCTTGGAACGCATACTGGCATCACCAATGCGGCAACCGAGATTCGACAATACCATCTTAAGCGATCAACAACCAACGACTGTAGAAGTGCATGCTACGCCTAGAACAGCAGTACCATTGCCACAAACACGTAAGCGTGTTATGTTTAGCACACTTGCCCAAAATGCTGCCGGAAATGGTGCCAGAAGTGATACTGAACCTTTGAAGCCATTGACAATGGATTAGTGCAATTTAGCTCGTTTGAATACGGAATAAAATAAGCTTAATTTAAATCATCTATACTTGTACTTATGCTATCTATTACAGGTAGACACTACTTCTAAATTAGCTGCGCTTGATTTTTATGAATTAAATCGGATACCAGTTGGTAGGGTATTATGTGCTGCGAGCCAGCAGTTAGATCCACCTCCTCGTCATCGACGCCAACCACAACAGCAGGCACTAGGAATGTATGAAAAGGACGATATTTTCAATAATAATTTGAAGCTCACTTATTGCTCTTACCCGCCACATTCGCTTTGATGAAAACATGACTCATTAGGTTTGGACGAACTATTCGTTGATCCGCCTCTGAACGCTGCATATTGGGCATGTACTGCAACGCCACTTGCTGGAAGTATTGCTCCACATTTTCGGCATACTCTTGCGCGTATTTGGCCTCTTCCGGCGATAATCTTTTTTCAGACACATCTCGCGCCTCTTCCTCATTTATTATATGTCGCGTGTAAGTTTCTATCTTTTGCAATCGACAACGTAGGTAACTGGCCATCACATAGCGTATGCGTTCTAATTCCATTTGATGCACAATGAAACGAAAATCGTTCTTATCTAAATCCTTCATATTTTCCTCCATGTGTGCGACTTGACCGAGCATCAGCTCCATCATGTCGGTTTGGTGTTGGAGAATTTCTGGTGCACATAATTCATTTTGCCATGCGGTTTCTACAATTTCTAGTACCTATGAGGGAAAGCAAGGGTTCAGAAGTTCAAGATTTTATTATGCGTACGTTACGTATTACCTTTTGTGCAGTTATTAACTCTTCCTCATCTACGTGGTCGTCAAAATCTGCAATATGTTCAGAATCGCTTAATGGATGAATGGTATCGTCGTCGGACATTATTATTCCCTAATTCAACTATAAAAATAATAAAAATTTTAACACCGCGGCCCGCAAACAAAAACAAATTAAGTGAATTGTAAACAAGTAATCATCTCCATTACTTTGCGATAGGATTTACAGCTGTAAAACTATCGATAGTATCGAATGGTTTTATTTTTTTGCACTATCGAAGTGCCGGTGCCCACAATTGCCAACTTGGTGCTTTAAGCAATTGAAATAGTAAAATACCTTATACCTTTTTGATTGAAACGACATACATAGATGAGTTTAAATATTCAGGGCTATCACAGAATCCATCGTAGCTTCAATTTTCGTGAAATCTACGAAGGCGCTATCACAGAATCCGAATAGCTACGAACGTAAATTCGAAATTCGTAGAGAGCCTTCATTGAATCCGTTCGTAATGAAGATTCGTACAGATACTCTACGATGAGATTATGCTGCCGGAACAAAATTTAAAATCACTCAATCTTAAAAATAGTGGAAGAAAGCTGCATTATTTTTAATATTAAATATTTATTATACTCCAAATTTGTTATATGTAGTTTGATATAATTCCATATATTTGTGTAAACGTGGACGTAAAATACCAATGCTATATATACATACATATGTACATGCACGCACTCATCTGCTAGACGCTATTTAATGAATTAATATTTTGCATGAATCGAGGAAATAATAGTTTAGCAACAATTTATTAGGAAATAAACCTAATTACTTTAATATCATAAAACTTTATTTAAAAAAAAAAAAAAAATTCTATTTAAAATAATAAAATCTAAGCTAAAAATAAACTAAAAAAAATATTTATTAAAAAATAAACAAAAATTAAATAAAAAAGGAAAAAATCTCCACTACCCCACGACTCGGACTCGAACTCGGTTCTCTCAATTGGCTGTCTAGTGCTTTGCACACTCGGCTATTGCGCCTGATTGCCAGCGTGAGCAAAATGACATACATAAATGTCTGTTGTTTCCTATGCACTAACTGATTTCGAATCAGCATTCGAAGCTGGCAATGATATTTTCGAGTTCACTCGGATTCAGTGATAGCATTTTTTTCGTATTCGTAGCAGGCATTCGGATTCGTAGATTTTCTACGATGGATTCCGTGATAGCCCTGATTAATTTTTCATTTTATTACTCCTTTTGTATTATGTAGTTAAGCAAAATCGTATTACAATAATTCACTTCAGGATACAGTCCGACAGTAATTTTGCCACTTGATTCACTGCGCGTTCTATTTTCTTTCAGATTATTTGAGGATACTCTGAAGATTATTTACTTTTTGTTGGTAATTTTCCTCTTCATTTAGCTTTAGTTTTTCACTTGGTAATTAAAAATTCGTTTCCCTAACACTTTTTACGTATCTGCGCGTCGGTTAGAGGTGAGTTGGGGAATGATGTTGGATATCAACATGAGAACTATGAATTTCTCCAAGGTTGGAGAAATATTTTTTCAGTGTTTATTGGGTTGCTACATTTTTGGTTCCAAAAAAAGGAATAAGCGGCAACACTATACAACCATCACTGCTCTCACGTGTTTATTACGGCTTTTGCTTTGACATTCGCCGCAAAGTCTTTTTGATCAAAACAATAAACTCCGACAGGATGGCTCAAACAGATTTTCAGAAAAACTTTCGCTTAGTTTTAGAGAAAATCTTCAATAACTGGCAAAATCTGCGATTAGCAGTTGAGCATGGCATGGGCGGTCGCAATGGGCAACAGGTAATGCGAAGTCAACCCCAACCAACCACTTTGCATAATACTTACCTTATTTTTCTTATACCAGCAAGCTATTGAAATCATGGAGTACACTTACAAGTATTGCATTGGTAATGAGAACATAACACAAGGTGAGCTACAAGATGTTGTGGAGGAACTGCTGGATCAAGAATTCGACACGATATGTGAGGATGGTTCCATACCAGGTAAACGTATGAAGTACTATGAACATAACATATTTGTAAACTATAAACTTATATCAATTTCTTCCCAGAAATCTGTAGGAATTTGCTCCGATATAAATCGCTCTGCTTCAGTGGAGAATATGCACAAATCGAAAGTGAATTAAGCAAACTACCGCAAGGCAAGGAATGGCTACGACCCGATGTGAAAATTGTGTATACGCCAATTGCAGGAGAAAACTCATCCTCAGAGGATGATGACAGTAGCGGAAACTCTGACGCTGATATGGATGTTGACGATGAAGACAGCGATATTGCCAGTTGTAGTCGCGTAACACGCTCTCAAACACGTAGAAAGCAAGAATTTGCAGAGCCTGAACCTGGTTGGACAACAGTGCGCACGAGAAGAAAGTAAAACTTGTCGCCACTACGAAAATTTTATTGAAATTAATGAATTCTAAACCGGTATACATATAAATGAAACAAAATACTGTACATACATAAATTGTAGCTTTATTTCTTGATGCCTCTAATCAAAAATACTATTAACATCCTGTAAATCCAAAAACCTCAATGTAGATATCTGTTCATGTGCTGCTGGTAGACGATGTGTACTATTGCAAAAGTCACAGTTGGAAAGCACTTCGCGTTCTTTTCGTGGTGTCGCTTGTTTAATGTATCTAACACGCGCCCATACACTATTATTCTTGGAATCTACAGATTTATCACCCTCGGCATGTCGCAATAATAAAGCAGTATCCATCACAGACTCCACATCATCTACGTTGGGTGTCATAGCCAAACAAATTCCCGGATATACGAAGAATTCAAAAACGAACATACCCATAAGTACCAGTATTGGTAAATATGCAGCGAAGTATTTATCTGGCAGGTAGTTTAGACCCCAACTTTCAGTTGGCAAAAGCGCCCACATTAAATATAGAATAAATAGAGTAAAGAAAAGTAAATAAAAACTGAAACCGTACACCGCTCTATGCGGTGTTGGTGCAGGTGTGTGCTCTGGCATTAGTGTTAGCAGTTTCAGAACTTGGTGCAAATTCTTTGATTGTGTCCGTACAGAGTAAGAGGGATCCGAAAAAGGATGTGATTGCTGTTCGTAAGTTTTTTACATGAGTAGCTTTAAAGTGTACTTCAATTTCATCACCCACTAAACGCAATTCCTTTTGGACAAAATTACGACTCGGTTCCTTATCAACGCTTAATACCCGATAAACTATCACTGCACGCTGTACTGACTCGAATGGGATTTTGATTGTGCTGCAATAAGAGTGGAAGATATGAATGGAGGGATTATTGGAAATTTTGCTTAAACTTACGCTTCTGCGGTCTTGTTGTTACTCTCCGATCGTGCATCTATTCCAGTATCAGAGTGCAAAGACATAATGGACGCATTTAATTATTCTGAAGAACAGAATTCTATCCTTTACATATGTACCACTTATGTACGAACTTTTCACAGGCGATAAATAATAGTTGCGTTCCCTAACTCGCAAGAAGTTGCAAGAATTTACAGGTTTTTACCAGAAAGCGTTCCCGTACTCGGTTCTCTGCTTTGTGACAGTTGCGTTCGCGTACGCAAAAAACTTGCAAAGTAGGGGAAATTGAGAGCAAACTGACAGTTTTTGAAAACGAATGCATGGATTTTAAAAATTTTGATCTCATTTGATAGGAAATTTGATTCCCTTTAATTTGGTATAAATATAATCCTCCCCAAGTAGAATTTTCCTTTCTGTGTTGCCGCAGAAGGGAAGCGCAATTCCTTTCTGCGTACATTAATTAGATTTTTGTGAAAACTAAACAAGGCATACATAAAGTATGCATATCAAATTAAAGGGAACTAAATTTCCTATCGATTGAGGTCAAAACTTTTAAAATCCATATATTACTTTTTAAGACTTTTTTATTTAAAAAATAGTTTAATTTGAAATTTGACCCTTAATAACTTTTGTAGTTTTTGTTTCCGCAAGAAAAGAAATATACCGTTATACTCACCTTAATGTTCTCTATCAATCCCCGTACGTTTTTTTTTTTGGAATCGAAGCTATTCTGCATTTATGCTCAAATTTTGCTCAACTTCTGAAATTGGACAGAAATGCAACTCTGAAAAATCACGCACGCAAATTTATTTGTGTGCGTGCGTAGAAAAATTCACGCCGGTAATACTCCCTGCAAAAATCGCGACTACTCCATGCATGCGTGTAAAGAGTACTCCCTAAGGACCAAAGAGTACTCCAAAATTAACCACAATTCATATAAAAAAT